CGGTGAGTAGGGCGCGCGAGCAGCCCCTTCCCGGCGCTGCCCCGCCGCCGCGAGACTCAACGCCCGCCGCTCCTGCGCCGGGCTCGGGGGAGCTGCCCGGGCGGGCCGGAGCGGTTGTCATCTGCGGGGAGGGCGCGGTGGGAGGACGGGACGTTGAGGCCTCGGCTGGGAAGGCTGGTAAACGGTAGTGGAAAGGTTTTTCTTCCAGACTTGATTCCGAAATTTTGGGAACTTTACTTTGGAGCAGAGTTGCCTGGATAGTGGCCTCGTTTATTCTGCAAAGGTTTGTTGGGTCCTTGCTCTTCGCAGGGTCGGGGCTTACGTGTGGGAATAAGTCGGCCTTCAGTTGACCACATCAAACTGTTGTGAATAGAAAAATCCAAAAATCTTCAGAAAACTTAGTAAAAGGCATAGTACTGCTCGTTAAATTGTATAAGAGTATTACTTGTTTAGGCAACCCTGAAATTTGTGAACTTGTGATTCCAAAGATATTGTTGATAATTCCAGTTTTAATCTATAAACCTGTTTAAAATCTCTGATGGTATTAGAGAGTTTGTTGGTAAATTATTAAGCCCTTTGGGTTCCCAGTAGATATTCGGGAGATTTGTTGGTTAGAGGTTTTCCTCCCTGAAACTGACTTATAAAAGGGAGACCGTAAAGTTTTTTTTGTCGTTGTTTTCTTGGTAATTTACATTTTAAAGCGAATGTTACCAGTCTAATTTCTTCTGTGCATTTCTAATTCATGCCTTTCTTCCTTCTCACCTGGGCTGTCGCGGAACACTTTCCTAAGTAGTCTCTAGGCTCTCAGTCTCTTTCTTTTTCCTCTCTCGGTGCTATGTCGCCCACAGGTCCTGTGCTGTGGTTGAATTTTCCTTATTCTCTCCCACACTGGCCTGGGCTGCTGGACATTTCATTGCTTATTGTATCAACTAGTCAATCGTCTTGTTCTCACTTTTCTCGTCTGTAAACTGAGGATGTGTTTGGCTTCTTATCCACAAGGATTCTTACAAGAGTCAAAAGAAATGAATGTGGATGTGAAAATATTTCATAAACAGAAAGGCTGCCTGCAGGACCTTCCTCCCCACCTTTCGGAATCCTGCCATTCTTAGGTTCAGCTCATCGTCCTCTCTAAAGCAAGCGTCTGACCACCCTAGCCCACAGCAATCAGAATCTCCTTTGTCAGATATTTAGGAAATGTATTGTCTGTGCTATTTATTTTTAGCACATACTCACATACTACTTTAGGTCATCTCTTGCCAACTAGACTGTAAACCCTGGGAGACAGGGAGGGGTTCTGCTCAGAGTCCCATACACATCTCAGGGCCTCAGCACGCGTTTGTTGAGTGATTGATATTAAGCTTGGTAGTACTTTTCCTCAGTCATGGGTCCTCCTATGAGCTAACCTCATGAGCCGCCTTTACTAACAACTCTTGTTTCAAGGGAAGACTTGAAGAGTAGTGGGTGGGGGCGGGCCCCGTGGCTTAGCAGTTAATTGCGCGCGCTCTGCCACTCCCGGGTTCGGATCCCAGGCGCGCACCAACACACTGCTTGTCCGCCCATGCTGAGGCGGCATCCCACATACAGCAACTAGAAGGATGTGCAGCTATGACATACAACTATCTACTGGGGCCTTGGGGAGAAAAAGGGAAAAAAAGGAGGAGGATTGACAATAGATGTTAGCTCAGGGCAAGTCTTTCTCAGCAAAAAGAGGAGGACTGGCATGGATGTTAGCTCAGGGCTGAGCTTCCTCACAAAAAAAAAAAAAAGAGTAGTGGGTGGTCATTCCAATTTAAGTAAGTAATGAAAGCTCATAAAAATCTTAGTTTTACACACAGCTAGCTGCCTTGAACATCCCCTAGAAAGTATATTAGTAGTGATTGAATTTGTTTAAAGAGAGTAGGAGTTTAGAACCCTCTATGGTATTTTCAGTCCTGAATTAACTGGAGAGAAATTTGACATGCTGTTTGAAGGGAAATTCATTCTGTGTGTGTTAGAACTTGAGTCTGGCTTGTCAGTCATTCCTTTGGGTGTGAGAGCCTGATCAGATGTGCCATGTTATGTTGATGTCTTATCACATTAAACCTTGACCCGTGGATTTCATGAGTTTAAACTTTAGAGTGGAGGTGCTCTTCTGCCTCCCTACTGGGAAGAGGGACCCTTCACTTCAGTCTCCAAGTGATTCGAGCTGAGCTCTTTGGCCTTGGAATGGGGTCTTAGGAACAGAAGATCAGTGTCACTAAGAAAACAGTGGCATTTTCCGTTTTAGTGGCTCCTTCAGTTCAGAGAGAGAGTCCTTGCCTGGGTAGGATTTCTGCTTAGGGAGAGAGCAGAGCTGTGCACAGAGAGATGGAGGAGAGAAGGTGCTTCTTAGTCATTGTTATTTTTGAAAATTTTATATATATATTTCAACTAATTAATATTCCTTATGTAAGGAATACTATTAGTTATTTTTTTCCAAATGTGCTGTAATACCATTAAGCAGTCGTTTCATAGCCAGAGTTACCATCAGCAAACCATTTGTACAAGTGAAGAAGGATCA